ATGGACCGGGTGATGTTTGGTACTTTGGCGCACGCACGGGCTTCTTGTGCCGCGCGATTTGGGCCGGGGTTTCTTGACTTTGGGCCGAGGTATTGGTTCGCCTTGGCCTCAACCCTTATGCAATATTTTCTCGATTTTTTTAAGCTCGTTTTCATATTAAAATATTTTCCAAGTTTATGGTCATTCTTCTAAGGTTAAATGGAACTGGAGTTGGGCTAAATTGTTCAGTACCAGAGTAAAATTTTGATCGACTCTTCTTTGGCGTAGACTTAGTACTAATTTAATTAATCCATTTTACTTAGGATTTTTACCTATTTAATTTAATGCTTGTAATAATTAATTTAATTCAAGGCGTTAAATTTTTAGAACTTGGAATAATTTAAATTGCTTCCTCTTGGAACTAAAGGCGAGCTCATATAGATAAAAGGATCTGGGGGTTACACTAATCTTATCATTTTTTTTTCACTTCAGACCTTTTTTGGGCTTTAATAGCATGTAATTGCACAACTTTTTTGAACTCTTCTCTCGTACCAAAGACCATTCATAGAGAAAAAGTGGGATCATATACATACATAGGATTAAACAAAATTTCACCCTAACTAACTGTATCGTTATCAAAACAATAATCCACAAAATCATATGGAGCTTCAACCAAATCTTCTTTCCCAATATCAAAATATGGTTCACCTTCTAAATCCACAGATTTTTCTACATTTTGATTAAAATATACATTATCAATCTCACAACTACTTTCAGACCAAATACCATATCACCCTTATCACTTCCATCACCATCCCCATCATCACCCCTATCAGTATCTAATCTTTTACTTCCCTCATCACTCCCATCACCATCCCCATCATCACCCCTATCAAATGTCATATAACCCCTAACAAATACCATATCACCCTTATCTAAAGTTTGTCACCATCTACATCATCCAATCATCATTGCCTTCTCTACTCTCACTTGTTTCACTGCTATCTGATTCACTCTTTTTTTATTTCTTCAGTTCTATCCAACCACCTTGATCATACTTAGAAGTAGGCAAAGATTGACTTACATCCCTCAAATCAATGTATATTTCTATCAGTCAACTACATTTGTGTCATTTAGTCCACCTGCAAGAAGTTACAACATCTCCAACAATCTCAATGTTGTATCTACGTAGAAAAAGTAATACCTTCTATGTCCTACACAACCTAAAATATCACCAATACAATTCAATGTATCAAGACCCAATTATAAATCTCTATCCAGTTAAATATCATACTAGAACCCCTAATATAATCAGAAATTGTAGAATGCACAAATTGACCTCCACAACAAAGAACGAGAGTTGTGTGGTCTCTACTTTCATTGAAACTAAACCCAAAATAAACCATGCAACAAAAAACAGAAAAATAAAATAAAAAAGACTAAAGGAGCACAACAATAAGCATTGGTAAAATGCATAAGTATATTTTCAATAAAATTAGGAATTTTCACCACATTAATGTTAGAAATTAGAGTTTGCAAAAAAATTTGTCTTCAAAATTAGGGTGCAAAAGAACCCGAATTTCATTTCAATGTACACTTTTTCATTTAGGAACCCTTTTTCATCTCTAATTTAGGACTTGTAATAAAATAATGAAGATTCTATTACACGTACCAAGCTTTCCCTAAACAAGAACACAAAACACTTTAAACTAAAAGTTAGCACTCACCTTATGTGGGAAGACCGTTGTGCATCCTAATCTTCTATCAAATTAAAACCTTCTCAAGAATCATTTACGACATATTTCAAATTTCTTGAACCAAGACGTGATTTCAAATTTTTGATTTTTTTGGGATGAAGAACGATTGCAAAATTTCTGAGTTTTGTTCTCTTAATCGATTACATAAATGAAACGACTTTTCATTTTCCCTCCCTTTCCATGTTTCATGCCACGAAAAATTGTTTTTTTGGTTTAATTTCAAGGCGATGTGTGATAATTTCAATGCCACGAGGGATTCTCTGGTTCCACATAAGATTAAATGATCCTGTCAAGTGACTATTTTCGGTCAAATTTTGAAGTTTCAATGAATCGGGACCATTTTGTTAACTTTTGGTAAACGGGAATGACTAAATTCAAATAAGGGGGTGATTGTTTATCAATTCAACCAAAAAATAAAATTAATCAAAACTCAAATTTAACTCAACTTTAATCCAACTCCACTACCTCCGATATTATCAATATAATTAAATAATATCAACCAATCATTCTTACACATCACATTAACTTTAATTCACTATTCAGTTACTTATATAAGTTTAACTAAGCATCATTTCCAATCATTTTTCTTACTTTTACATCAAATCAACTTTAATTATTTTATTTTTAAATAATATTTTAATTTATACTTGAATATCCACTAACAACTAGCCATACGACATTTTTTTTTTCAAAACTGACTATGGTTAAAAAAAAACCAATTAAGAACTAGTTGGATTCATATCCAATCACCCCCTACTAGTTGAATTCATATCCATTCACCACCTAAGCAATTCAAAAGGGACTAAAAAGTCGGGGTAGCCAAAGAGGACCAAAATTGTAATTTTCTCTATTTTTTAATTTGTTGGCCAAAGTATCAATTGGCTCAGTTAATTCATTAAGGGGCTGAACTGAAAAGTAACTGGTTCAACAAAAACCGATCTCCTATACTATGGTGTACATATCTCATAGCTACACAAAGAAGTTGAATCACAGTCGTCAAGCGGGAAAAGCCAGAGTTACATCTTTCAAAACTGCAATTCCCGTTCACGTTCCAATACATCCCGATACCCAGTTTTCACTTAAATATGAGAGTAATCACCCAAAAGTAACTCACGCATGTCATCAGGAGTGAGAAAAGTAGTTCCTCCGAGTATTATTTCAACATCGGGCCTGCTGCTTCCAGTCAAAGCTTCCTGGACTTCTCGTACCTGAAAAATGCAACACGAAATTTAAGCATATTTTCAAAGGATGCTTTCTATACACTGGAATTCTGAGGGAGATTAAAGAAACAAAAGACGGATCGAAGAAAGCTGACCTCCACAGCGTTGATACCTCCAATTACAAAAACCAAGATCACATTCTGCTCAACAAGACTAGGTTTAACCTGCAACATGCAAAAATGAAAAAGTTATTTAAAAATCCACACGATATTAACAATTTATGCAACTCTGGTTATTCAATAATTACCTGCCCAAGGCCAAATCTTCCCAAACCACTTTTGAAAAGACGGCCCACTGTGGAGGAATGATACTCCAGCCCTGGAATGTCATTTTTGTCTAAAATACGCGTCAGAATTCTGTAGAGAAAACATTTGCCTGATAAGGGATCGTCAATGTGCCTACTTTCCAAGGCCAGTAGTGAAGCCTTACTTTTCAAGCTCGAGAGTTTATGAAGGAATTTGAAAAGATTATCCACCCTGTCACGTAGCTCTAGCTTTAGCTGCATGTTTCCATACACTTCCTCTTTGCCAGTATCCTTATCATCACCATCATCATTATCATCCCCCCAATTACCCCATTGATCATCATCAAAATCCACACCGTCCGAGTGATCAGAAGGATCGTGTTTCTTTTCATTAGATTTTGGTTTCTTTGAGCTGTCTTCAAGCTCTTGAGACAAACCTTGAAGAAACTTTAGTTTCGAGGCAGCTGGGTTCTCGAGGACGGAGTCCACAATACCTTCTTTCATGAAGTGCTCCTCCTGCCATGAGAATGGACCACCAGAACCAGAGGTCGGGAAATTCTCACCAGCCAACAGATACCCAATAATTGTTAAAAGCAGAGCATCTTCGAGAGAGAACAGTCCCTGTGATTTCTCCACTTTATTTTGTGAAGCCGCAAGAGAGGTTTTATTGATGAGGTCACTGATTTGAGCCGCCAGGCTCTGGCTCGTGTCTGCAGCATTTACATGTAGAATCTTCTCGGCACTATTAAATGCGTCCCAGTTTGCAGAATGTGATTCATCTAAAGCATGTAAAGTGACTGCTGCTAACTGAATTATTCCTTTGTTCTTGATAAAAGTGGACTGACTTTTGGATAGCGCCTTGACCATGCACTGTAAGTCAGATTTAGAAGGGAAACCAGGACGGATTTTCACATTCGAAGATATTTTCTCTTGTCGCAAGCTTTCTTGAAGCCATTTCTTCATCAGCATGACCCCATCTTTTGTCCTACGCTCAAGTATTGCTTCTAGGTAAGGTGCTCCGCGAAAATTATCTGTAGAGACAAAGGAACCGTGCAAAAGTTCACCCTGATTATGCGGCCAATTTTCATCATTTAGTTTCTTACTGAATTTCATCAACTCAACACTTTGAACATCGGAATCAATGGCATTCCAGCCATGTAAAAATGCTTCGATGCTGTCCAACAGCTGAAAATCGCATTTTGAATCTTTTTCAGTAATAATCTTTCCTAGTGGAACCTGTACAGCAAGAGGAGCACGCTCCAGTTTAACAAGTCCACTTTTTAGTTGGCTTTGAGAACCTTTCATCTGATTTGAGAACGTTATCCTTCGCCTACGAGGCAAGGATGAAAACATCCGGTCCACAAGTGAGTCACCATGACAGCATGGAGTAAGAAGATCGAGTGTACGGTCAATGAGCAGTAGGCCTGCAGTTTTTTTACGTCGACCAACATCGTATAGACTAGACATGTCTGTTAAAAGCTTTCCAACATTTTTTGACAGATTACCCAGAGAATATATTTCCAGTTTTAGATCCATCTGCAAAGATATTGAAAAACAATATTCATCACGAAATGGTGGACTTTAACATTGAGCAAAACAAAAGTAAGAAATTGGTAGGGATACTCCCTATTCAATACATAAGAACATTATCTGTATTCAAGAAAACACACTACAATTTAGAAAATATACACAACCACGGAATTCAAGTGAAAGGAGAGGCAATTTGAGTTTAACAGATGAGTAAACTTGTGGCAGGGTGTTTTCATTGCTATGATTTCTCGAAATGTATAGAATGAGACTATGACATGAATTGATCTGTACTTGCATAAGCTCAAGAGGCATGATCAGTGACGCATTATGTCCTTTATCCTTAACGTGTCCAGATTCTAGTCATGCATTATGTTACTCAGTATTTCAAATTAAGTTTAGGCGAGGCAATTTACAAAGTAAAAAGATGTAAGATACTTGGGTACAGCCAGGCAAATTATATTTAAAAAGCTTGTACGCAAAAGAAATCCACAAGTCAAAGCTTTATCACCTTCAATGCCAAATGATAAAGAAATTGAGCAGTAAGAGTTGCCCCAGGACTGATATCCTCAATATTAACAAGATTCCCAGCACTTATCGGAGGCAAACCAGAGCTAACGGAATTTTCATGATCAGTAGATAAGCTTGCTTCAGCAATATATCCTTCTGAAGGTAAGACGAAAACTCTGGGTGACAAAGGACACAATATCAATGGAAAGTGGTGCACTGAAACCGACAGTTTTCCACCCACATCTTCAGAGTAGCCTGTAAAGTTGTCTTCCTTTGGTAGTTTGTTACTTGAAATGCCATCAGATCTGGAAATATCATCTTCAAAGGAGGTTAGGTGGGACCACCCTTCATCTTCAAAGGCCGTACTTTCCTTCAAAGAGTCGTTGCCTGACACTGTACCATCAGTTTCATGTTTCTTAACAAGCTCCTCATAATCTTGCTTGAGCAAAGATTCGTATTCACGAAAAGCATCTGGGCCCAGAGGAGATTCAGGAAATGATGAGTGAGCCACCTACATTAGGTAAGTAGGCATATGATCAAAGAGATGATATCAATGTGTTATCATGACAATATATTTTAATTTCAGCATGAAAAAGACGTGAGTGTTACTTTACTTGTGTTTGTTACACTTATATTGATAATTCTGTGATGTTCGAAGACAAAAACTAAATCATTATATGTTCAAATTATAAAGTGATCAGTAACCAGACCTCTGTTCATTCGGGCTACAAAATTAAAGCTATGACGTCATATTTATCTGGCAATAAAACATGGTGCACTTATATCTGGTAATTCAACGCAACAATTATCTCTCATAATTCAACTCAGCAATACGAGTGTGGGTAGCTAGTTATTACCAAAAACAGATAATGATAACAAATAAAGATCCTTTGCTTCGGGGTTGCAGATTTGGAAACTAATATCAGTATTATCCATGGCGGGAGGCTGAAATCCCACCATAGAGATCTGACATGGCGCCCTGTGTTGCCGCCATAACTGCTATCTGTCACATATTTGTAATGACGGTGACAGAAATCCGCCACGCCATACCGCCAACATGGCAGAAATTTGATATCACTGACCAATATCATGCCAACAGATGATGCTACAAGTGAAATCTTTAAGCAAATGTACAAGGAATATTATAGAGATGTCTCCATATTTGTAGTGTGTGCACGTATAGCCAGGAAAGATTTAAGTGCATTAGTCTAGACCAACCTATTTCCAAGAAAAAAAAGTAGTAAACCAAAGTCAGTTGAAAGGAAAGATGGCGAAAGCAGTTAAACCGAGGGAATACAATGAATCACTACTTTAACTCGGGCATCAGAAGATGAGAAACCTTGATAATGATGGATGTTTCTAAGATCACAATTCAGGGGATGATTCAAGAATTTCCTAAAGGAAATGAAAATACAACTCGACAGAGATTCCATGGCTTGTAATAATCTCTATCTAGATTTTTGAGTTTTAACCAAGAGTAACCAATAGTTTCCTGAGCAGTAGGCATAATTTCACAAGATCATCTGAGTTTCCCACTTTCCACACTTCTACTGCATGCACAATAAGATCATTCTGAGCTTTGAATGGATGCTTGAAACAATTACAGGCAGAATTAGAATTGTGAACACCAAGTCCTTACGAATAACACAACAAAGTAACTAATTTGGGCATTGGTAGAGTTAAGGGTGAGAGCAAACGAAAACAATAGATAATAGATATATTAATTAAGATATTAACTCAAAATTAACTCTGGACGAATCCCGCCCAGCCTAAGGCCGACACTTCGGGAAGAAACTTCCCGCAAAGCTTAAAGCCATCAATTCTATTCAACACAAGCTAATCCTATGTATCAAATACTAATCCAATTAAATAGAGTCCTAACCCTAATCCAATTATTGAAATAAACTAATTGATCTCTAACAAGCATTATCTTGTACATTTTTAAGACCAGATGTCTGCTATGACAGCCACAAAAGTAAATAAATAATATAGAAAATCACAATTTATTTAAGCTTCAACTCCATGATTTTTCTCTATATTTATATTGTACGCATAACAACAACAACAACAACAACAACATAGCCTTTTTGTCCCAAGCAAGTTGGGGTAGGCTAGAGATGAAACCCAAGAGAACCAATGGTAAGAGTTACGCCCCAACGAATTTCTCATGTGTTTCATCTCCATAGAACGGCTAGGTTTTACGTTGGCTCGCCAAGCCTATCACAACCCTCCTCCTTTACCAGGGCTTGGGACCTGCTATGTTGAGACAACATAGGCAGTGTTTATATTGTAAACATACATAGAAAATTATGTAACTGACATGAGGACTTCTGTATAGTAACTTAATACAAGCCTAGCACAATGTACATACTGGCGAATATATTTATGACTTAAAATCATCAAGTGCCCAAAAAAGATCCCATTTTAGCCTTTATTTTATTTTATTCTGTTTTATTTTATTTTATTTATTTATGATGGTGGAATTCTTCTATTTTAATAAAAACTGAAAATATTCCTCAAAGTAAATGATGTACGTGATATTATTAATATACAAGGATGAACATATAACTATAGCAAGGAATCATAGAGCACAAAACCTATAACTTTATCATGAAAGACTCGTAATTCCAAAGAGCATCAGTGTTAGAATGCAAATATACCAATATGAATCTAAACTTTTAAGAGTTCGAGTCAAAATGAGTTAATTTTGTCTTTATGTTACCCAACCTCATGACTCATCCACCAGTAATTTCATCAGCTACCACATCATCAACTTCTATCAGTTGTACACTTTTCTAAATACTTATTAGGAGCCCAACAACAGATGCATTAACTAATCGTGATGAGCCTACTCTTAGAATATAACCTCCTTACAAAGTCTTCCAGTAATCTATACCCTAGAGAGCTCGGCAAAGTCCTGACCAGGTTCTTTCCTAAAATGTTCCGCCAGGATAACACGACATGGACAGGTAGTATCTGTATGTAACTACAAACCAGCTCAATAATAAGAATAAGCATACAGATTAAACTTAGAAATTCTGAAGGAAATGATAATCATTTAAATCATTGCCAACATTTTTATCTTTGCCAATTTTTTTTATCATAAAGGACTCAAGCTCCAGGACCTATCATTGTCAGTATGTACATCTATGAATATGCCGCTTAACAGTTTTAGCAAGTTCAAATAGCCACTGCGTCAATCCTAACTCGACAGACAAGTTCATAAATGGATGTTTTTTCATTTTCTGCTACTGTTTTCCAATCAGATTTCACACTAGTTTATTGTCACTTCATTCTGTATAGCACATTTTACTTAGGAATAATTTAAAAATGTTAACATGCCATCTTCGGGTAAAACGTGTTTAAACAATGCACCTTTAAACTACCAAGTGGCAGAGCACTGAAAATAATTAAAGATAACAGCCTCAACACAAAATAACGATTATAAACATTGGTAAAACAGAGTGAATTTAGGTTTCCACATGACTAGGAGAAGCTTAAGTTGAAATTTCCTTTTTAAAAGAGAAAAATAAACAACAAAAATTATTTAAACAAACACCTCTGAGACAGACGTGTATACAGCACAATGGTGGACGGTTTGCAGTGTGCTGAGACAACGCAAAATATATCGATGTGCGTCACTGACAAGACGTGATGTGAAAACCACAATCTTCCTTGCTGGATCAGAATTGGGATTCCAGCTAACAACCTAGAAAATAGGAGCATATCACAAATCATTGTCCGAGAAACGGTGCAACAATGACAGACAAAAATATACATAAAAGGGTTTTAAAAAAGTGTCACAGTCTTGCTAAACAAAAAGAGTATATGTTAAACCAAAGGATCCTCCATAAGATACAAGAATAAATACTAACTCCCTAAACTTCAGTTTCAGATAAAACGAGACGAACGATTCAATTGCATACACAGGTAAAAACAGGATGCAAACGGTAGCAGTTGAGGCTGCACCTTCTCCAGGGTCGAAATGTTCTCCAAGCTACAAACAGCACGGGCCCCAAGCTCCAGAAACAAAGGGAATGCTCCTAGAAACTCGAAACTCTCCGAACTTCCAGCATCCAAGTATACAATTGCATCTTCGATGTTCTCCGACAACTGAGGCCACAAAAAAGAGCTCATCTTGATGATTATGCAACCACAACATATATATCGAATCCGCACGAAACGGAAACAAGAAAGTAACAATTGTGCAGGGCAAGTTAACTTACTTGTCTGATTGTATCTAGGCAACAATTGATCACATCAACAGTGGCCATAATCCCTAATTTTCGCCACGATCACCGCGATTCAAAATCAGGTAAATTCACAAATTCATTCGGGACCAAAGCAATCATCAATCAAAGGGAAAGAGAAACGGCGAGAACATAATTTGCAGAATTAGCTGACACAAAGACACATTGGCGGATTTGGATGTGATGAGAGTCTGCTGGATTTCAATTTAGGAATATTACATCGTACAGTAGCTTTTGTAACCTACTTCGGTCCTATTAAGACGAAGGATAACACACTTTAATCACTACCTCGTTTGCTTCATCGGATATAAAAACTCTTGATAACCTATCTGTACATTGTCAGTGCACGAGGTCAATAATTATGAATTGCATATATTAAAACAACAAAAAAAATATAATTAATACGAAAATAATTTGGAATATTAATATTTTTTCTTTTTATTTTATAGTGTATAATAATTTAACATATGAATTATATAGTTATTTCATTCGTTATAAAAGAGTTGTTATTTCACCAGAAATTCTATGGTGCTCATAAGGGCACCATAAACTATGGCACAATATGATATGACACATATGATGTGGCTTTATTAATTGGAGTTATAAATTCCATGGTCAAATTGGAAAAGACTTTTGTTACCAAATCAAAGACGGCGAAGCTAGAGCCAAACGCTTGGTAAGTGTCTCTTAGACAGGAAAAGACCAAATCTCCCTTATTATCGTTTGGAAAAAATGGGACGGATTGTGGGGTAAACGAAATTAACAGAGGATCGAGCGGCGACAGATTGTAAAGCTTGAGTATTGATAGGGCTTTGCCGACGAGGAAGTTGTCCAGTGAAGATGGGGAAAGCGACGGTGGCGAAGAATTGGGCGAAACTACTGGTTTGGGCAGGTTGCTGCGAGTGTTGAGGGCTCGCTGCGAGTGTATCCAGAGAGGCATTTTGATTAAAAACGAAGAAAGTGAATTTTAAGGTTTTGTTACGAATTCAGTAACATGTGAGGAAGAATTGTTGGGTGTGTGAGAGTTGAGCGAGTAAACGAAATTAACAGAGACTAGGATTAGGATAAATCGCAGTAAAATTCTAAGGTGTTTTTAATGATGTAATGGTATAGTTAATGGAGTCCTGCGGCCATCCGATCGGCACTCATCCAGACTGGAGTATGCAGCCCATCAAGATTTTTTTTTTATTTCTTTTATAATAATTATTTATTTTTATGTAAAAATCATTGCCATGTTGGAAGTGATAACTCCAATTAATAAAGCCACATCATAGTGGCATGGCTTATGGTGCTCGTATGGCACCATAGAATTTTTGGTTATTTCACAGTTCATGTTTAGAATTAAGAACAATAATAATTTAATATATTCAAATGTTATCGATAACTAACACTCATCTCTCTCTCTCTCT